CATGCTTAAACTTGACAAATTTGAATCACTGAGAAATGTATTTAAAGATTTCAAGTTCCTAACTGTGACATGCATCTATATTTTCGAAATTTCTGTTTTAGTAAAAGAAATAAACGACCATTTTTATCAAAAAGCAAAGTGAAAAAGAACTTGCGATTGTCTTATGCGTATAATATGTGTATTTATAAGTCATCTAGTTTTATATGTAACAAAAGTACCATAACAACTGGAATCAAGGTCTTTAATCATTTACCTAATTCCATTAAAGCTTTAGAAAGTAAACCATTCCAGAAACAGCTTAGGCACTGTCATCATCATCATCAACAGCCTATCTTAGTCCACTGCTGGACATAGGCCTCTCCAAATGCACGCCACTTAGATCGATCTTGGGCTACTCGCATCCAGCTCCTGCCAGCCACCTTGCGCAAATCGTCACTCCATCGCGCCTGAGGACGTCCTACACTACGTTTGCCTAGACGCGGTCTCCACTCCAGAACTCGTCTACCCCAACGGTTATCGGTTCTTCGACAAATATGGCCAGCCCACTGCCACTTCAACTTGCTAATCCGGTGGGCTATGTCGATAACTCTGGTTCTCTGCCGGATTACCTCATTTCTGATGCGATCCTTCAGAGAAACGCCGAGCATAGCCCTTTCCATAGCGCGTTGAGCGACTTTGAACCTGTGGACCAGCCGTACCGTCAGTGTCCACGTCTCGGCTCCGTATGTCATCACAGGTAGGACGCACTGATTGAAGACTTTCGTCTTCAGACACTGTGGGATCGACGATGTCAGGACTTGACGTAACTTCCCAAACGCTGCCCAACCTAGCTGAATTCTTCTATTCACCTCGTCCTCAAGGCACTGGTTATTATCGAAATGTTTTTATAGTTTGGAAGAATATTTTATGTCGAATTGTATTAAATAAATGTTTATTTCTTAAAGTATTTGGTCTAAGGAACCTAAATACATCGATTTCACTTCATAAAAGCAGAAGATTGCTGTAGAAATTTAATTTAAAATAAAATTTTTAGTCTATACTTTTTAAACACTAAAAACGCTGTTCGACACATCCGCCATGATTGTGACGTCTCTTTTAGTAAACAACTAAATGTCATTCATACATAACTTTAAAACTTGTATTATTAAAACTGATAATAAATGAAGAGACTTAAAATATTATTCAATGAGTACTTACTTACATCAAAGTGATCTTCGCAAAAATAAATTTTACTATGAGTCGATAAAGTTGCAGGATCACTTTTAGCAAGTTCTAACCAGGTGTTGCGTAGGTTAATTTCTTTCGGCACTTTAATCCACAACTTTCCTGGAGTCTTCTTTTTCAAGGATGTGTTTTTACATTCTCGTACAATACAATAATGATAAATACTATATTTTTCGTGGTATCTATTAGAAATCATGTTTTCTTTTTATTATAAACTCAGTTAAGTTATTTTCATTTTCTACGTGCTTACGAGTTTTTTCTACGTGCTTACGAGTTTTTGTTTACTACCGTCAACGTCATAGCATAGATAATCTATAGACTAAAATGGCCGACAGCGTTTTTGTATGTTCATGAAAAGTCTATTTTAAAATTAAAGATTTGTAGCTTTCTAGGTCTCAAAAATATTACAATACATTTTTTTTCGGTCTAATAGAACATTTATTAACCATTTGAAACCTTTTTCCAAAAAGGGTCAACTAGCCTATTTATGTATAATTTGGACATAACTGGTTAATTTATGATTGTATGAATATAGTTTAGAGAGTAAATTTATTATTATTTTATGTAGCTGACATTTAATTACTGAGTATTATTTTAATGTAATTGTACGCCCGAAATGGGCAAACTGTTGGCACTACCAAATGTTAAGAACCATTTGTACAGTTTGTCTATAAAGTCGTGATATGAATGTTTGAGGAACTAACATTATTCATGTGTCTGGCAACACCAAACTTATGTACATCAGCTGTCATCGAGTTTCAGTTGTGGAACAGTTTTCCTTTTGTATTTTTTATTGTTTGGATTAAACTGTAATAAATTAAGACGAAACTACGCAGAAAGGTATAAAAATGAGTAAAGTACATCGGAGTGGCACGCGGGAAGTGATTTTTAAAGTTTTCCAGCGATATTTCGAAGACTACCAAGCTGGACGAAGTTTGTGGGATTTGGATGATGTTTAAGGGCGAACAGCATCTATGACGGGTATGTAATCGTGTAACTACTTGTTTGTAATCTGCCTGAAGTTACAAATTTACGATTTTGAGACCAAAAAAGGCATTGTTTACATTGCACATTTATAGGTTAGATAGACATTGTAAATAGGTAATATTGTAGTACGACCATTTCTTTTGATACGTTATTATGGTTCAACTCGGTCAGGTTTTCTACCAATTTTGAATTAATTGCTTCATGTCATTATGTTATTGTTTCTATTCCGTGACATATTTTTTTACTTTTTTTCAGGAAAATCAGAGAGTCGGATAGTCAACGAAGGTTTTAAGAATGATGGAAAGTTTGAAACTCCTGGGAAAACAGGCAAGGCCAACCAAAGAAAGAAATGGTCACACAAAGAACCATGGCCAGATGCTTTTAGTGAAGATACCTATCACTAATTTTACTAACTGCACATTTACAAATTGTTTCTCTAAATAAACTTTTTATATACTGTAAAATGAATTCTTAGTATTATTTTCTTAACAAGTGTGTTAAAAAAGATACTTGTGTATTGCGTATGATGATACTTGTGTGTATTGATGATTACCTAACGGCTCTGGTCTCAATGGCACCTCAGCGGTAATCACCAACATTACACACTTTACACTATAAAGTACTATTTTATCTATAATAATTTTATTCTGATTCAATTAAATATGCGTGGCTAAACTTTTTATAAGCATTGGTACCTACTATATATAAAACAGAAACAAAATACGACTCTATAGTGTGTCTTATTTATTACCTACTAGCAAACCCGGCGAACTCCGTTTCGCCACCAGATGGCTTCGTTTTATGTAACATTTCGTTTGGTGATTAAAAGAAGTTTTTTTTTAAATTTTTTTTGAATTTTCTTTGCTATAAACCTCACGGAGCCCGAGACCTTTCCAACGAATGCAAAACCGTGGAAATCGGTTCGTGCGTTCTGGAGTTATAGCGTCAGGAAGGAAAACCCGACTTATTTTTATATAGTAGATTATTGTATTTGAATGAACTGCTAGTATCAAAATCATTTTGGTCCGACTGTATAGGGTTACTACATGCATACTAGTGGCGCCATCTTAATGTCACGACTTTATAGACAAACTGAACACAGTTCTGGACAATAAATGATTATCTTATCTTATCTTAACCACAGACTTAGAATATATTGTAAGTTTGTGAACTGAACACATTTCTTCCTTATTATTAAACAAGCAATAAGCTTAGACTAGTGTAATAGTTACGCCGTGTTTTGTTCATTTCACTCAAATGCCATTCGTAATTCAATGAACAGAGACAAAATATAGAGTAACAAATCCAAACTTATTCTTAGTTTATTAATAAGGGGGAAATTGTGCGGGGAAATTGTTTTTGTAACCACTCTAAAAAGATCCTCTTTAGGTATTACTTACGGAAAGCTATAAACTATGCAAGTCACCGCCTCCTTGTCATGTATTAGTGTATGAGAATGTGGGCAGTGTTGCCACCTTGGTGGTTTTTCCACCAGAACTGGTGCTTTTTCACTATATGTAGTGGTATATTTTTTAGTGGTTTTTTAACATGAAATCTAGCAACATATTTTTAAGGGGAAATCCCCTAACTTTCCGAAATTTCATAATGTTCTATGGTTACAGGGGAATTCCTACACGCGGTTGTCTGTTAAGGGCTTCCTTCAATCGTTCATTCTGTTTCAGGAATTAGGTTCGCGTTCATTGTGTTGTTAAAAAGTGTAAAAGTTTGATTTGATAGAAACGTTTGTAACAGTGTGTGAACTCCTGAAGCTGTATGTTTAGAGTATGGAAATTATATTCAAGAAAAAGAATTACACACAAAAGTATAGAAAAGAATGGGAATCATTCGACGAATTCCAAACCTGGCTTAAACCTTTAGCAGGTGTTGATGCGAAGGCGTTTTCTTCATTTTGTAAAGCAGAATTATTAGCAAGAGTAGTAAATTTGAGAAATGTCTTCTCTGAAACAAAAAAGTACAAAAAAAAATGCAAATTTTATCCGGCAATCAAAAGATATCATTTAAAAAACACAAAATACTCTTTCAAAAATCCACTACAACCACAACCAAACATCTTCAGCTTCGACATCATTGACAGAAGCATCGGCGTCTGTGAACGACGATGAAGTTATAGAAGATGTAACATTTAACAATATTGAATTTTAAATTTCACATTTTGTTTAAGATTTATTTCTTGATTATAAATAATGAATGTAAATACATATTGACCTGGTTTTATTTCATTTTCTAGTACTACTAAGGTAACGCTCGGAAAAGTTTTAAGTTAGTAAAAACAATATTGTCATTTTTTTTAATAAACAAAATTTTACTAATTTAGAACGACTGCGGGATACAGTTATTTCTGTAGCATCTCATACATATTCACTGGTTTTTTATTTAAATTAGGGTTTTTTTGTTATCAGAGTAATTTAGCGGATTTTGGTGTATTTTATTAATTCCAAATTTTTGAAATCTGGTGATATTTTATCTTTGACTTGGCGCCTTAAAAAAATCTAAGGTGGCAACACTGAATGTGGGGTATTTTCCCGCCTTTTATTATCATAGTTCAATTCTTTATTGCAAACTGAGTATTCGTACACGGTGAAAAATTACAAAAGTAAGCACTTTTGAACTTGGTCATCCCTTTCGGATCAGAGGGCATAGATGTGGGTTCGAATGCAATTGCAATTTGAGACGAATTTTCGTTAAATTTATACAAAAATCTAGCAGTTAAATTCTTTTTTGTAAAATCTGACGAAATGTATTTAAGTACTTTCTTTTTGTACATACAGGAAAGGTGGAACACTTCACATTCGAAGGGACTACGAATGACGTTACGTCGATAGCACTGTCTTTCTACTCAGGCCTGTTCGCTTACAATGGATGGTGAGTTTTATTTAAGTTAATTTTTAAGGTTCATAAAAGGAAAAAACGAAACTCTTATAGGATTACTTTGTTTTCCGTCTGTCCATTCCGTCAGTCTGTCAAGTCAAGACCCTTTATCTCGGGAACGCGTGGAGGCAGAGCCCTCTTTCCCAGTGGGCACTTTGGGCAAGTGCCCAGGGCCCCGCGATCGATAGGGCCCCCCCTCAGATCAAATACAAAGTCCTTAGTTCCTGTTAAATCACCAAACGGGGGTCGTAGGGGCCCCATTATCCTAATATACCCAGGGCCTCCAATAGGTCAAAGACGGCACTGCATGGAGGTATAGAGTTGACATTTAGACCATATATGCGCTACCATCACTATATAGTTTGTGGACCATATACATGGGTCTGCGGTCCCTTGAAGCTGTGAAAAATCCAGCTTATATTAATACGGCCTATTATATTGCGTACCTACAAAGAACAGAACCCTAAGTGGGCGAGCCCGAATCGAAGTAGTCCGGATTTTTTTTTAATTATAGCAATGAAAACATACTATTTCGTTACCTGCAAAGTATAAATATCACCAAAAACACTGCCGTTCTTGTCATATTATTTGTATTAGCATTTTACTTTCAAAATATTTCACAGTTGGTAGTTGATGAATGTTTTCATAGCTAAAACGTCGCCACATAGTTATATTTATTTTCATTTTTTAAGCATTTTACTGCTAGATGTTTAAATGTAATGAAGATGTTTATATTTAATCAGTGCCGTTTGCTGCCTGTCCGCGTGGAATCGCTACATTTTTAAGATAATGAAAAAGTAGAAACTGAGAGATTTCAACAAGGATACTTTAAGGGACGCCATAAAATTCTGAAATTATAACAACCACTGCGGTTAGCTATTCATAATGTTTAATTATCAAAGTTTTGATAAAGTGCTGTTTCTCGAGCTTAACCATCTAGCACGGAGGAACTATTAGCCTCGCACTTTATGTTAATGTTATTCAAAACTGTTTTTTTTTCAAATGTGTATTTTGAATTTTGTCTGTTTTTATTTAAGATTTCTATATTCAATTAAGAAAATTGTAGCAACTTGCTGTGCTGCTAAATGTACTTTAATTCCTATATTCCTTAGAGCTAAGCTATATTTAGATAAGTTCTGACAGAATTCTCTAAGCTTAATTCTCGATTAGACAAATGGATATCCTTATAATAATGTAAAGATAAGGAACAGGAGAGACTGCAGTTTTTAAATTTAAGTTTACCACTTTTACGAAATTTGTTCAGACGTGAGTCAGCAATTAGTTATGATGAGTAACATCGAATCTTTTACAACCAGGAACTACTTGAACTTCATCATCGAGGAGCTTAAGGACCCGGTGCGCAACTTACCGCGTGCCATCGCCATATCCTGCACTCTCGTCACTGTTGTCTACACCTTCACGAATATCGCCTTTTACACCACTCTATCGCCAACAGAGGTAATTTTAAACTTAATTAACACGAAATATCTCCTTCGTTTTATCTGTTACTATAGTAAGCATGTCGTTCAATGTAGTTCTTCGTCTTTAAAAATATATCCTTTTTGCTCCAATATTTCTATAGGTACCACTTTATCATCAATAAGATGTACCTACAGTGGTAGTGGTGGTAGGCTACAAATTCACTATCTCAACTTATTGAGTTACTATGTTACTATTAATTAATTTTTTAGTCCCTCAGTCGGGGTCCTTTCCTACAGGTAACAACTGGAATCAAGGTCTTTAATCATTTACCTAATTCCATTAAAGCTTTAGAAAGTAAACGATTCAAGACACAGCTTAGGCACTGGTTATTATCGAAATGTTTTTATAGTTTGGAGGAATATTTTAATGATCATTGACAATAAAATTGCAATTTATGTATAATTTTGACATAACTGGTTAATTTATGATTGTATGAATATAGTTTAGAGAGTAAATTTATTATTATTTTATGTATCTGACATTTAATTACTAAATATTATTTTAATGTAATTGTACGCCCGAAATGGGCAAACTGTTGACACTATTTTAAGAACCATTTATTTGTACACAGTTCTGGACAATAAATGATTATCTTATCTAGGTATTATTTTACTTAATAAAGAAATACATTATTTTAATTTTTTAATCTCAGTGTACCTACACCTTCATATATTATTTTCTACTTCACGTTTGACGTTTTAGGTCTCATTTACATTTTTTTTTATTATTTGTACGTTGTTTTAATAATGTTGCCTGCACCGTGAGCGTGAGTTTTAATGATTTTATAGTTTTGCTTCAATATGAATAGCTACATGACTATATTATTATTCGTTTTAACATTGCTCAGCCCATTTTCTTTATATAATGTGTGACTACTGCAATAATCGAAAAAGACGGACATGTGCTACATGCGATAGAACCTACAAAAATGTGAAAACGTAAAAATCCTTCATGAGTATGTACGTCTTAAAGACAACACCTGTGTTAAAACTAAACTCTCTAGGTTAAAATTAAATATTTTAAACTATTTAAATTGATTCGAAAAATGAATGATAGCTTTATAAAAGAAAATAAAATAAAATGAGCGTTATGTTAAAAGACATTATTAAACTAATCACTTGAAATGAAACACTGATATACTATTTAATTTAAGTTATAGAGTCTATATTTTTCGTAAAACTTTATTACTTAGACACCAAGATAGATTGAAGACACAAGAATACTTGCGATCGCACGCTCCATCTTAGGAATTTTAAGAAAACTATTTTAAAAGTTAGATAATTTAAAGCGCGCATGCATAGATGCTAGTCTTGCTACAAAAGCAATGTCGTAAACATATAAGAAAATGCATAATTTCTCGATAGATAGTGGTACTAAAACGATTTAAAAAACAAATTATTTTACATATTTTACAAAGATTAATTAATTTGTAGAGATTAACGAGCAAGAAATAAACTGTAGTAAACATATCAGACGATATCCATTAAATAAATATTTTATACAACATCATATACATAATACTAGCTGACCCAGCGAACTTCGTACCGCCATAAAAAAATTTAATTAAAAAAACATTGTCCAACGGACAAAATTGTGAATCTAAACCATTCTCAGATCCCCTTGAACACACACAAAAATTTCTACAAAATCGGTCCAGTCGTTTAAGAGAAGTTCAGTGACATACACACTCACAGAAGAATTATATATATAAAGATTACTATTCTAAATTAGGTAATTGAAGCTTTTGTATTAAGGGAGTCAGAAAAAACTACGACAAAATAATCAGCTAGACCCGAGAAAAAAACAAGTTAATTTTATAAGTTGACCCGACCGGGGATCGAACCCGGTACCCCGCGAGTTTGCGGGGTTGATGGATTACAAAAACACTGTCTTGCTTTTGCGATAGATAAAAAAAATATGAAAATCTCTACAAATGTGTCATACCTACACGTATACAAAACACCACGGTTTTATGGTGCCTTTTTTCAAGATTTGTACCCTCCCAGTGACATAAAAGTTTTTCCAGTCCAACATCCGCGGACATTTGGGTGTCCTCTGTGGGCGGTCGTGTTTTTTGCTCATTAGCACGCTTTAGAAAGCAAAGCATCCTTATCGCTGCTTGTGGTCTTTAGTTTAGGTAAAATATGTAGATGGCGTTGTGAATAAAAATGCAGTGCTCTCTGAACTTCAGATTTTTTTACATCAGTTTGAAGTACGTGCTGCGCGAAAAATGGTGACGTCGTGGACGTTTCAACCGAAATGACCCCAATTTTGTAGAACACACTCTTTTCCCATTATTTAATTTTAAAGTGTGATATATTAACCGGTATTTACCCGTAGCAGTGATGTGCAACGATCATAGTTTTATTTGAATTACAATTAAAACCTACAAAAATGTGAACACATACAAGTTTTATTTGTTACCAGCTATTTTTATTTTATTTCTTCTGTTATGTTTTTCTTATCTTAGGTTTTTTCGATATATTTATTTATGAAAAAATTACTGTATAAAAAGTGCAAGCATTGGAAAGGCATGGATTGTTCATAAAAACCAAACCTGTATTAATAAACAACTTAGGCATATATCAAACGTTGAATACATTTTTTTTTTTTTTTTTTATTATTACCAGTTTCAAAGAAATATAAATACATAAAAAAATGGGTGCGTGTACTTATGTAGGCGCGTGAGAAGTTATCCTTCTTTGGCATCGTTTAAAATTAGTTTTTAATTGCATGCAAATAATTAATTACAATAAATTAATAAAAAGTCTGGAAAAGGACACAGTCAATAAAGTTCAGTTTTAATTTGAAAAAATAAATAAATAATCAAAATATTCAATTAAAATCGCTACTGAATATAATTTATTAGAACATATGTGATTTGCACTTGTATGAAACTCAAACACGTATTCCGAATATACAAACTAGAAACATGTGGATAAATATTATAAATATGAATAGGTACTGTTACTTTATTACAAAAAATAAAGATGTGGTTTTTGGTTCTACTACACCAATGGTCAAGAGATGGCGCTGTAGTCTCCTGAATCGCGCTTTGGTTCCGTTGTTCCAGATTAATAAATACTTTTGATAGGCCTTCACAATGCAGTCGTTAGCACCCACTAAATAGGTATTCTATTTCTATTTTGTTGGTAGATTTTCTTAATGTGCGGTAAACACAAAAGTAACAGCATTTGTGTTACAGTGATGCGCGCATCTTAAAATTTCACTCTCATCATTTTTTCATAACGCGCCTAAAGAAGTATAACTTCAATAAATAATCTATATATACAAAAATCAATTGCTCTTCGTTGGTCTCGAAAACGGCTGAACAGATTTATCTTATCTTGGTCTTGAAATGTTCGTGGTGTTCTAGGGAAGGTTTAAATGGTGAGAAAATATGGAAAAATTGCGAGGAAGATAGTAAAAACGTAATTTAATTTTCCCATATAAACTGTTCTATCTTCTTTCCTGTCAAACATTTGACGTTCGTCCCTTTTAGTACGGTAGACTCGGGTCCGTCATTTTTTCCAAATTATTTTCACCCGGACGAAGTAAGTAGCTAAACGAAAAACACCATTAAAACAATTTAAAATAATTACTGAACTCAGGATGGTGTCGACCCTAAGACCGTAACCGTTCGGCTATCCGTCTGTTATTTTTTCAAATATAAATGATAAAATTACGGATACCTATCTTGTGTCAAATACTCTACTTCCGTTTCATCGAATCACAATTCACAACGGTGCTAAAGAAGTTTTCACTTCAAAAAAGCTTCTGCAGAGAAAATCGAATACCTAAACTGATGTCGCTCCTTTATTATTTTGTTTTACTGTTTTAGTAATGTCATCGTTTCTTTCATGAATGTGTTCAGGTGCTGGGCTCAGCGGCGGTGGCCGTGACGTTTGCGGAGCGTCTGTTCGGTTGGTTCGCGCTCTCCATCCCGCTGTTCGTGGCAGCTTCCACCTTTGGTGCCGTTAACGGGGTTCTGCTTACTTCTTCACGGTATGTTTCTCTTTTATATTGACGATACGGCTCGAAGGACCAATAACTGTTATTAGTATGATATCGCACTAACTATTGCACCATCAATCTTCCACTTCCATATTTTAATTATGTATTTGCAATCAGTTTACTGTTGTGGTTAGTAGAGTGTTACATGCAGGCGTGATACAATGTCTGATCGTGCTAACCAATCGAGTTTCTCCCTTCATATTTTAATAATTACAGAATATGGGTGTTACGATACTCAGGTCTTACTACGAGGGCGCGGTGCAGGCCAGATGCGGGAGATGCTCACGATGGTGTCTCTCGGACATGAAAAGAGATAGTTGTTACAGTCTGGAAGGTTATTCTACTCGCGGCGCGGCGCAGGGCCAGATGCCGGAGATGCTGACAATGACCGAGAGGCACGGTCATGAAATGAGATAGTTGTTGCAGTCTTGTGGTCTTGTAGTTTGTTCTACGCGGGCGCAGCGCAGGGCAGCGCCAGATGCCGGAGATGCTGACGATGGTGTTCGGTCATGAAATGAGATAGTTGTTACAGTCTTGTGGTCTTGTAGGTTGTTCTACGCGGGCGCGGCGCAGTTCCAGATGCCGGATATGCTGATGATGGTGACTCTCGGATATGAAATGAGATAGTTGTTACAGTCTTGTGGTCTTGTAGGTTGTTCTACGCGGGCGCGGCGCAGGGCCAGATGCCGGAGATGCTGACGATGGTGTCGACGCGCGCGACGCCCGCACCCGCTGTTCTCGCGGTGGCACTACTGTCGCTGCTCTACCTGACCGTCTCCGATATCTACGCGCTCATCAACTACGTCGGGTTCGCCACATGGGTAAGGGATATACACCAATGTTGCTTAAATTGGAAACGGCTTTTTTACTTCGTCATCAGCCTATGAATATCCTCACTGTTCAGGCACAGGCCTCAGGCCTACCCTATGGATGGGATTCCTTATCTCGTGTTGGGCCATTGACCCACCATGTCCGGATAGGTGGGTGCTAACGACTGCAGATGCAGCCAGAACCAAAGGCTTAACGTAACAAACAAAGGTCTTATAAAGCATGGAGGAGTTCGAGATAATAAATTTTTGGGGACCTATCCGATGACCGGTAATTGCGAAATTTGCCTCGACCACTTGCGCCATCGTGCTCCTCTGGCTTCTACGTGTTGAATTGATATCACCTATAGACATCGAAAATGGATGTATGGAGATGGATGAATGGATATGTAGCGAGGAGGACAAGTGTGATAAAATGTTAGAAGCACGCCTCGAAGCTAAACCAGAAGTTGTGGCTGTACAGTAATAGGCCAAGTTACTTTTAACCCAAGAATCCAAAACGTACAATATTCTAATCTCAACCTCTCTAAAGAATAGAAAAGCAATAAATAAAGAATCAATGTCTGAAATCGCCTCTATAAAACAATTAATATATTTGTTGTTTATTACAGTTGAGCATCGGCGCCGCAGTATTGTGCTTACCAGTATTGAGATATACACGACCCGATTTAGAAAGGCCAATAAGAGTCAACTTATTCTTCCCTGGTAAGTTATTTGCCTATTTGTTTGGTTTCTGAGTAATAAATAATATAACTTACATCTACAGGAATAGACAACTAATACTTGTATGTATACAGCGAATGGCGAATGAGAAATAGTAATTTACATTTAACACACACAAAAAAAATGTTGACCTTTGGCGCCCAACGTCGGATTCGCTAAATTATAGGAATATGTAATTTTGATACTTGCTGTTTTATTGCAGTAGTACTTTCACATGCACAAAATATTGTAGCGCCAGTTGTTTGGCATTTCTGTGCGAGACGGAACGCACCAAGTTCAGGTTCGGCTCGGTCACCAATCCGTATGGTGCTGCATGACGCGATATAAAAATCGACGCTGCCATTGCATTGGTCGCAAAATATTGTTCCCAACCCCTCTTCCTCGAATTATGTAACAGCAATTTTTCGAATTTAAAACTTATACGCTATTAGACTTTCAAAGACATCACACCTTTTATTTAAATTTCTAAAATCTCAGTCTCAAAACTCCGTAGCTATGCATAGACGATACGAAAACCAAGTACCGGTGGTCGCTATCCGGCACATGAGCCCTTCATCGCCAAATAATTTGATCCAGCATCCTGTGGAAGACGCGGTCGAAGCTGCTGCTACGGACATTACCTGCAATAGACGAGCATATTCTGGACTGAGGACTACTTGGAGGCTAAGCGCATACAGGAATCGAAGCTGGAGTGGCATTCCATCGAGCATCATACGCAATCTGGTGGGACCAACCATCCTTTCTATTCCTAACACCTCCTGGTTCTATTTGTGATACCTGTGTCTAAACTGATTTCAGTGAAATATACGCATAGAAGCTATTTGGACAGTTCCGGACAGTCATTTTGCGAGCTAGTGACGTTGCTATCACTGCCGACGTGTATCAGAACATCCAAATTGTAAGTACTCCTGTTTTTCACTGACCACCAAAATGCCTACCGAAAATGTATTAACTGTTGATGACAAAAATCCTAGATCGCGTGATAGATCTCCTATTTCGCAATGCGCAGATCCAGTTTTGATTCGCGACCTAGTTCGAAAACGAGGTGTCATTAAAGGCCGACCTAACTAAATTTTCTACGTATCTGCTCTCTTTACAACAGAACGAAAATCTTATTTTTTCCTCGCAGAACCGCATAGATGTAAAATTACGCATTAAAGGAGCTGCTAGTTTATATGCTGAATTTAACGAGGTTCAGTGTAAAATCGAAGCGTGTGTACCCGAAAGTGAGATCTGTGAGCAGTTGAATAACCGTGAAATATTTGAAAATTCTTATTATAGTACAGTAGCGCGCGCAGAACACATAGTTAGCAGTTCTGAGGTTAGTGACGGTTCTGGTGATAGGAGTTTGCTATGACGAACAAGTACAGTCAGTAAAGCTGCCCACTATTTTACTGCCTACCTTTGACGGTTCCTATGAGCACTGGCTTAAATTTCGCGATACATTTTTATCTTTGGTGCATAACTCTAAGCGTATCAGTGATATCCAAAAGTTTCACTATTTAAAATCCTCGTTAAAAGGCAATGCTGACCTGGTTGTCAACTCCGTGGAATTTTCTTCCGATAATTATAACGTTGCATGGGAGTTTTTTTTTTTTTTTTAACACACCAATTAGCCTAGCCCCAAAGTAAGCACTGAAAGGCTTGTGTTACGGATTACTAGGGTAACGGATAGAATACATTTACTTTACATATATAAGTATATTTATATAGAAATACATATTAAACATCCATGACTGGAGTACAAATGCTCGTGTTCATCACACAAACATCTGCCCCCACCGGGATTCGAACCCGGGACCTCTCGAGGCGGCGACACCATGAAACACGGCGTACAAACCACTCGACCACGGAGGTCGTCAAGTTATTGCTTAATAGGTATAATAATAATCGACTTCTAGTACATAACCACGTCAAGGCGTTATATTCTATTAACCCGTTATCTAGGGAGTCCCCCGCTTACATTAGAAAGCTCATAGATACTATTCTTAAAAATATACGCGCTTTGAAAATCCTAGGTGAACCAACGGATTCCTGGGACACCCTCATAAATTATATTATTGTGTCAAAGTTAGATAGAACCACTGAACGCGAATGGGAGACCTACAAGTGTTCGTTAATTCTGAACGACAACAATTCTAAACGCATAATAAAATTAGACGAATTAATCGGATTCTTAAAGGCACGGGCGGATATGTTGGAAACATTGGAGCTTTCGCATCACAAAGAACCTTCTACGCAATCTGAGCACAAAAAGCAAAGCTCACATTCAAGCACACATTCACGTAACGCATCTCACTGCAATGTATCTACACATAAGCCGGCCGACACTCAATCTCAACGCGTCAAACAGTTTTGTTTGAAATGCAACGGTAATCATCCACTATATTCATGTCAGAAATTCATTGATAGTGATTTAAAAGCAAAATTAAATTTAATAAGCGTACACAAGCTTTGCAAGAATTGTTTACGTTCAGGACACGCACTCGATAGTTGTAGGTTCGGTCCGTGTAGGAAATGTAACCGAAAACATAACACATTGATCCATAGTGATAACACAGACAATTCGGTTGCACTTCGTTCACTTAGTACGGCGACTGGGAGCTCCGCGACAAGCGCAGACGCAGCGGCGCCGCCTGCGAGCGTCCCCTCCTCCGCTTCCGCAAACCGGCTCCCGATGAATCGGGAACGTGAACGTTAACAAAGCACACATGCAAATTGATTGCGCTCAATCTATAGGCATCACACCGTTCTATTGCCAACAGTTGTTGTCGAAGTCGCCGATAGTAATGGTATTTATCACCAGGCGCGCGCGCTGCTTGACAATGGAAGCCAGCGATGTTTTATAACCGAATCGTTCTGCAAATTAATTAATGTACCAATTATACACTCCACTTTTGAAGTTAGAGGTGTAGGCGATTCAGTTTTACAAAGTTCAGAGACTTGTAACATTGAAATAAAATCACGCGTTGATAATAATTACATCACGCGCATTTCTTGTTTTGTTTTGTCACGAATAACGTCTTCGTTGCTGGCCTTATGTAAATTAAGCGAGCAGTTCTGTATTTCAGACAACATAACGCTGGCAGATCCGCAGTTTTTAAATTCTATAAACATAGATTTATTAATAGGCGCAGATACGTTGTGGGACCTGTTAGGCGAAGGGAAAATGCGTCTTCCTAACGGCCCTTACTTACAGAATACGAGGCTGGGGTGAATTATTTCCGGCCCTATTTTTAATAAATCATTTAATTCAAAACGCATTCAATGTAACTATAGTTCTTCTTTAGACTCACAATTACGCTTGTTCTGGGAGCTCGAGGAACTTCCCTTGATCAGGGATACGCGGACTGAGGAAGAGCGTGCATGTGAAGAACACTTCCTTCGTACTACTAAGCGCAATAGCGAAGGAAGGTTTTGTGTTCGCATTCCACTAAACCAGTCACCTGATACGTTAGGCGAATCTTATACGCAAGCCGAGCGCCGTTTTTACGCTTTAGAAAAACGTCTGCAACGTTCGCCTGATTACAAATTATTATATTGCAGTTTCATGCAGGACTATATCGACTTAGGTCATATGAGTCCAGTTACCACTTACGAGTATCCATGCTATTTTATGCCGCATCATGGTTTATTTAGGGAACATAGTTCCACAACTAAGTTGCGTGTGGTTTTCGATGCCAGTGCGCCGTCTACCTCTGGTAAGTCACTTAATGACTTGCAATTAGTCGGCTCGCCGACACAAGGCGATTTAATATCAATTCTTCTCAGATTTAGACAAAATAATTACGTTGCGTGCGCTGACATTGAAAAAATGTTTAGGAATTGCCTGGTAGACGAAGACCAACGTAAATTACAAATGATTTTGTGGCGCGATGATCCATCGAAGTCTTTAGGCATATTTCAATTAAATACCGTTACGTACGGAACCGCCTCTGCCCCCTTTCTCAGCGTGAGGTGTTTAAAGCAGCAAATCATCGGATCCTGAGGTTCAATTAGCTATTAAAGAAAACTTTTACGTCGACGATCTATTATTGTCTCATAATGATATGAATGATTTATTACAATTATGTAAAAATATAAAAAATACACTTCAGGCAGGTTGTCTTCCACTTCGCAAGTGGACATTTAATTTTTCATGCGACTTTGATGATAGTTTGTCGAATCATTCGAAGGAAATTAGATCAAACGAAGGTATTAATCCTAAAACGTTGGGTTTAGGATGGAATAATTTTTGCGATCAATTTCATTTCACTACTCAATTAAAAAACGATAACAAACCCATCACTGGTCAATTCTTTCTAATATATCACAAATCTTTGATCCTCTTGGTTTTTTGAGCCCTACGATTATTATCGCAAAGGTATTATTGCAACAATTATGGCTCCTTAAAATCGGTTGGGACGACGCAATCCCAGCGACCGTCGCGCAGACGGGGAACCGGTTTGTTGTTTCTTTGCAGGCACTCGGTACGCTGCGAGTGCCTCGCCACCCTGTATTATGCGTCGCAGACCACGTACGGCACTTGTGTTTATGTTCGGACTGTTAATCAAGATAACACTATAACCGTTAGATTACTTTTCTCTAAAGCAAAGGTCGCGCCTTTAAAACCGACTAGTATACCACGGCTCGAACTATGTGGTGCTCTGCTCGGTGCGAAACTTTTAGATAAAGTACGTAGTTCATTGCATTGTTCATTTAATAGTATGGTTTTCTGGACAGATTCAACTATAGTGTTGGGGTGGCTGCGCATGGCTCCTAATAAATTGAAAACATTTGTTCAAAATAGAATTTCCGAAATTCATGATTTAACTAATGATGTTGTTTGGCGTCATGTCAGCGGCAAGGAAAACCCTGCTGACCTGGCCTCACGTGGTTCTAGTTTGGGTGATCTTTCTTCTTCTACTTTATGGTGGGAGGGTCCAGAATTTTTGCGAAGTTCTAATTTTTCACTAAGCGATTGTACTATCACAGATAAGTCA